GGGTTCCTCTGATCAATGATTTACAAAAGGTTCAGGCAAACTTTGGAGCTCAATGTCTCCCATGCAAAATATTTTTTTGACGAAAATGTATTCGTACGTTTCGATTTGTTTTTTCGTCTCCTATCCATTTCATTGATCGCTCCAATTCCGAAAACATCCAGTATATCCGGAAAAAAAGGACTCATTTGTTTCCTGTGGGATATAGTTATTTATTATACGAGGGAATAAAGTAGAAGATTTTAGCTCCGTGAGCTAAATCTAATAGTTTTCCCGTGTATAATACACTATTTTTTTCTGTGACAGAAGAAAGGACGAATCAATATTGGGAAGATATTACATTATTTCGAAATCTGAAAATTATCGACGTGAAATTTTAAGTTTATAACAGTAGGGATACCTGCGTTGTAGGCTCGGTTGTAGGTATCTTTATCATTCTTTTGAAGTAATCAAATATCTGATGTCACTTCTGTCAGTCTAATTCTGTGATTTGATTTCAAGAAATTGCGAATTTAGTGGTTGTTTAATAATATACGAAACCGCGAAGTCGAATGGAAGATAAAAGGACTTGCAGTTCTTTCTGGGAGACGGTATTATTGACTCATTTTTCGGAACTATAGCACAACAAGAGTACCCACTTTTTTCCCACGGGAAAACAGTAATTTATGAAAAGTTACATTTTATAACCTGCCAACAGGGATGAAATGCCAAACTTTTTTCCTGTCACAGAAAAAACATTATATTCTGGGAAGAGTGACTTTTCGTAACCTGTCAACAGAGATGGAATGTCGAACTTTCTTGTCGTCACAAAGAATTGTAAATAATTGTCCTCTGAGAAGGAATCGTGTAAATTTAATGCACAGTAGAACTACCTGTTCATTAGTAGTTAAAACTAATAACACACGGCTCGTACATCTCTCACCTGACTGTCATCTTGAGCATAACTAATTGCTTAATCAATTTTTTTGGTAGCTATCCGTCCGTCATTAAAAGTCAACGGAAAAAAACGCGATACTAATTATTCTATGAAGCATCCGTCACCTCAATTTCTTTTCCACAGTGACGTTACACATTAATCGAGAATGAATTATATCGATGGAGGAATCCACAAAAAATATTACTTCAATCAAATCTGGAATAACTCAGTTAGACAATATACTCGATATATATAATAATTTCGATGATGCAGAAGTCGACTGTTCTGAACGTCAACCAAACCATGCGATTTTTCTTTGCACGTCCGGCTGTAGAAGTGGCACCGAATATGGCACTTCATCGCCCGGATTCACGGGAGTGAAGTAGCACTATGACTTAGTTACAAATAACTTTTTTTTCTATTACAGATGATATGTCGCAGTAATTGTTTTGTGTTGATAACAACGGAGTTATCGTCATTTATACAAAAACAAAAAATTATTTGGAAGCCGCCATCTTAAATCTATGAATTTTAACAAAAAAATCATGATCTCCGACCTCAAAAACCCCCACTTACCAATTTTGAATGGAATCGGACCAAATCTTGTCCGCCATCTTGGAGCAGCCATTTTTTTCAATTTCAAAAAAAATTCCATAATGTATTGTCACCGAAATTATGAACACCTGCCAAATTTCAAGTTAATCGGAGTAATGGAATTTTTGTTGAAATTTAAAAAAATGGCTGCTCCAAGATTTGGTCCGATTCCATTCAAAATTGGTGAGTGGGGGTTTTGAGGTCAGAGATCATGATTTGTTTGTTGAAATTTATAAATTCAAGATGGCGGCTTCCAAATAATTTTTTGTTTTTGTATAAATGCCGATAACTCTGTTGTTATCAACAAAAAACTATTACTGCGACATATCATCTGTAAGAGAGAAAAAAGTTATTTGTAACTAAGTCATAGTGAGCCATGACCTGCATTTGAAAAACTGAAGTGGGTGCTGACATCTCAAATTCTAGAAGAGTTGGTATAAATTTCATATTTTTTTCGAAATCGTTTCGAAAAACTGCCATGAGAATGTGAAATTAGTATTTGAATATTTTCATAAATAAAGAAGTTACGGAGGAGACATGAAGATGATCAAAATCTGTTTTTTGCGTATAAAACAAAAACGAATAGATTTCATCAAAATATTTTTTCACATTATAGTTGGCCTTGACGAACTCCACATTTGGTGTCATTTAACCGACCTCGTATCTCTCACCGTTAAAAAGATACCCATGGTGAACATGGTAAGTAGGACACACTGTATATATAAATATTTTATCAATATACAGTAAATACATGTCTAAAACAGTCGTAAATGGAATGTTGTGATGTATATTGGGCGTGAATTGCTTTTTATGGACCTTGCTGTAGCTCAGCCTCTTAAGCTGAGGTCCATAAAAGCCTAGTTCATGTCCTTGCTGTATAAATAACTTTTTTTTTCATGTTTTTGTTTCCACGAAGAGGAATATCCTGTTCAGAGAACATCGTGAGAACCAAGGGGAATAAGGTAGGAATTGGTGTTCTTCCCAAATTTCTGGAGGTTATATGCCACGGGGAACACCTCCCTTGGCAATGTGTTCCAGAGTCTCGCTGTTCGTTGGATGAACGAGTCTTTGAAAAGAGATGTTCTGCAGGTCTTCAAAGAGACTACGAAGGGGTGCGAAGCCTCAACTCGACGGGTAAATCTCTCGGGGACTGCCAAGGGAGGAAAAATTGTTGATATTTCAGAAGAGCATCGTCCATGAGAATATCTTTAAAATAGAACTTGATCGCCTACTTTCCTACGGTGTTCCAGAGTAGTGAGTGAGTTTGTGAGCGAGGCATCACCCACGAGACGAATTGACATTTTTTGAACAAAATCCAACAGTTTCAGGGTGTGTTCGGGTGCTGCACTCCAAATATGGGAACAGTATTTCAGGACAGGTCGGATCTGTGCCTTATAGATCATAAGCAGCTGACTGGAAGTGAAATAGCTCCTGGCCCGAAACAGAAAACCAAGTTTTTGGGATGCACTTTTAGCAATAGATCTCACGTGATTTTCCCAAGCAAGGTTATTGCTGATAGTAATACCGAGCATCAAAATGAATGTCTTCAAAGGTATGGTTACTCCTTTGAAGACAACCATTTCTGGAATGTGAGACCGTTCCCAGACTTTCGACACTGTATAAGTATGAATTGATCTTCGGTAAGACGATACGCCACTGTCCACTGTTGGAAGATGTAATTAAGGAAAATAATTTTAATCGCTTTTTCAGCATATTATTATAAAGTATTCGATCTTGCAAAGCATTTTTTGTTCTCCACTCGAACTTCCAGATGGTTCACAATCTTGAAATCGGTACACGGCTGTTCTTAATTATTGAAACTACTGTTTCTGCGTTTATTAATAATTATAATTGACCGCAATAATTTATTTCAACATAATTTATTGACTTATTGGGATAAGATTCGACGGTATTATAAATACGGTTATCACATCCAGTTCTTCAGCAATCACTAACAATCACCAACGATCGAAATTGAAACCTGGTCCTATGAACTTTATATAGGATGAGTCAGAATAAAATCGACAAACTTCGTACACGGATTTTTCACCTCATTTTGAGGTGGAAAGTTCATTTCAACGTATGTCCTAGAATGCATACTCACAGGGTGTCGAAAGTACGAAAAAAGTTAGGATTTCTCTAAATTTCTCCAGAACCCCTGTAGCAAAAACATAATGTAACTCGGTATTCCGATCCAGATTGATCATGGCAATAAGTAATTGAAATGTCCTCAGTTTCCACGAATAGATACTATTCTATAATTTTTAAGTGATGTTCAATTCTGTCTTGCAACTCTTGACTTGAATTTACTTCTCTGTAGCCTGGGCAGTTGTAAATCTATGCTGTAGCATAGACTTTTTGATTAGAATACAAAGAAACTGTTCAATCCATGTTTTTATTCCAATTTGTTCCAATGTTATTACAACAGAGGCTATATTTTTATCGGCAAGTGGTTCATAAAATGACGAAAACTACATCTATTATTATTATTATCACTGTATAGTCTTGATCATTTGAGAATGAAGAGACCTGAGATATACATTTTTGCAAAAAAAATCCCTAGAATGATGATAGAAATCTGTTCCAGAAACACACTCCATAATGAATCAATTATCGCCAAACCAATTTGCCTGAATTATTCAGAAGCTTTGAGAATAGAATAACAAAACAATTAGGTAATCAATAACTGTCAAGATATTAACGTTCGAACTGATGAATGTAGCTGTACAGAAAATTTACATTCGAAAGTGTTGAACGAAATGATTTTCAATTATTCAACACTTCCGGGAGATAGGTGTAGCGTCATATCATATTATATAATATGTTCTTTCCACGACTGTTGTATAAAATATCCCTAATATATGTACTTCCTCAAGCAAAACGACAGCCATTTTTCACACCAGTGTGTGAATAACCATTATTCACGGCTCTACAGTTCCTAGGGTACGCGATATATATTTTTTATTTAGCAAGCATTTATGTACGTTCAGGCAATAGCTATCAGGCACTTCAATTCAACGAATAGATATACTGTTTACTCCACCAAGGATATCCAGAAGTTGCAAAAGTCACTTCCCTGAATTTGTTGCTGGAGAAATTTCGAAACCTCTATGTATATGTATCAATATAAAAAACTATGTAAAACTGCATTCATTCACTTCTGAAGCGGAAGTTTGCAGGCGTCAATCCGAAAAAAACAAATAGATTTTCATCCGAAGAAATCAACAAATTTTTGATTCAGGCATGTGATGTGGAAAATATCTTGCAAGAAGGTTAGGAATCAGCTATATCATTGAAAAACATGCTCAATTTCAATATATCAACGACAATAGTAGTCGTGGACAAAGTTTAGTCTCTACTCGCATATAATGAGCTATCATTCACTCAGGTTAATTATGCCAGTCGCTACTCTCGTGACATAAACTTAACCTTCGTGAATAATAGCCCTCATTATATGCTTGTTGAATCAGTACTATTTGACGTGATCACTCACCCGTTGATGGACGTTTGTGTCATAAACCATCCTAGGAAGGCCTTCGCAAGGGTGTGCCATATCTGTGTCGGTATCCAATCAGACTTCCTCTCAGACTGGTCCAGGAAATCAAGGGTGTCTTGATCGACCTCTAGTTGTACGAACTTGGATGCAAGTGTGTCCGGCATTTCAGTCAAATCGCATTTGTACCACTGAAAACAAAGACGAAACTGTGGTTGGTATCTTCGAGTCTAATCTGATTTTCATTCAGTAGTCTGTAACTAACAGAAACTGTAATCAACTAGGAAAAAGCCAAATACTCAAAGTAGATTACAATGGTCACAAATAGAGAGAAACTTAAAGTCATTACCACAATAGTTCATACAAGTGGGGTACGTAGTTTTTGAAAGGTATCAGATTAGTATAGATGTAGTTTTCATTAGGTATTAGATGACTATAGAGCTCACATAATATATACGACGCTATAAAAGCAGATGATATTTTATCATAGCTCATATAAGATGGAAGATGGCACCATATCATGAGCATATTTTTATATTGAAACTATCATTGGGCACCAAAGATGTGTATACGACGCTATGAAAGTTCAGAGAACTGGAGATTTTTCCCACAAACTACGTACTTAGCCCACTCGACTGTCTTGGTTTTTCCACACAAACTACGTACCTAGCCCACTCGACTGCCAATAGGGACTAAAAAACCAAAAACAAAAGAAAGGTAAAACTTTGCCAACATATTTCTTCTTTGTGGGAAATCAAGACAGTCGAGTGAGCTAGGTACGTAGTTTATGGGCAAAAAATTAAGACAGTCGAGTGAGCTAGGTACCTAGTTTATTGGCGAAAAATAAATTCAGTCGAGTGAGCTAGGTTTTTTTACTTTCTTTTGTTTTTTGTTTTGTTTTCTATTGGCAAGTGATTATATAGGAACTTGTAAATTTTTTAGTGTTTTCATCGTATCTCCTGAACTATTGAATTCAGAGAAAAATGTTACACGGATTTTTTGTAGATTCTATCAAAAGGAATAATTTTGGTTTCATACCATTTTCAGATATTTTCAGTTCGAGATATTTGGAATTATCTGAGAATAAAATTTCCAACACTTTGTTCCATCTTTCAATCAACAAAAGGAAAAAATATTTCATGGTTCAGTGGAAGTCGATGAGCGTCATCTATCGATAATCTTTGTTTTTCAATATATCTCCATGGTATATCTCTATGGGTCGTTAAAATTTTTTTTTTCATATTTTTTACTTTATTTTCTGTACTATTGGGTTTACAGAAAAAAATATGGGTAATAATTTGTAGGAAATGTTCCAGTGGATAACTTTGCACTTCTGATAATTTTCGATTTTTCCATTTGTTTTCGATATATATTGAATTGAAAGGGTTTCAAATTTTGATTTTGCGATTTTCATTTGTTTTTCCATTTTCCGATGGATGCACGAAAAAATGGTAATATAATAATTTGTTGCGTCATCAAAGAGGCATACGGTGCATTTTTCAAATTTCGATTTAGTCTATTGGTTCAGGAGATATGTCGTTTTGAAGCGAACCGTGTGTTTCGGAAAATCTCCTTGAAAAACCCACTTGGAATTTTCCGACCCTGCTCAATTTCAATAGGTTTCGTCTCTCCCTGATAGAGTTTTTTTTCACAAAAAATGAAATCGATCGGACCACTTTTGCGATTTGTAGAGTGGTTACAAGAAACTTTCGGTGAAAAATCGATAAAACCCGGAAAAACCACTTTAGAGTTTTCCGATTTCCTCTCGGATTTCCTTCATATTTTAATGACATGATATTGTTTTGAGTACAATGAGATGGCGAAACTTCAAGTCGATATGTCAAAGGGTTCCGGAGATATATCGATTTATCATTACCACAGAGTACAGACAGACCACACACAAAAACCAAAGTTGCTCAAAATTCGATGGGGATCATTTTCTCCACAGTAACTATACCTCTATCTCGCTTAGTTTCCGAGATAGCATTTTTGGCAAAGCCGTAGTATACTCCACTATATAGGTATAGCGTCGTATAATAATGAACGAAAATGGTAGATAACGAGAGAAAAACAACTACATCCTCCTGAAATCTATGCAATAATTCGTATGGACGAATAAAATCGCGAGTGTTTCCTTCCTAAACGCCGAGCTTTGAGTATTCGGCTTTTTCCTAGTTGAAAATACGCCAGTCGGGCAACCAGCAACTCATTTCACCTGAAATGGGATCTTGTATTGGAGTGTTTCTTTCCTTGCCAGGTGGCGTTCGCCGTTCGCGTTTCATTTCGCGGACGTTGAACGCCTCGTGAGGTATAAATGCTGAGATGCGTTTACGTTGGGTCAGGTTCGCACCAGATAGCGGTCAAAAAGCTATCTGGGATAGCCCTGTACTGATGAGAGCCAAGAGCTCGAAACTAGTCTGCAGGTAGTCACGCGTCCCTGAACCACTTAGGTGCAGCTCTGCGTTTAGAAAGGAAACACTTGCGATTCTATTGGTCTATACGAATTATTGCATAGATTTCGGGAGGATGTAATCCAATGTTCTGAGCAAATTGACTGAGCTAGGCAGCAACAATAAAGTGATCCTCCTCTGGGTGCCAGGGCATATTGAAGTGGAGGGGAATGAACAAGCAGACACTCTGGCACGACAAGGAGCTTCAACGCCACTGATCGGACCAGAGCCATTCTGCGGCCTTGGAAATTCCTATTTCGAAGGAGAACTTGAGAAGGCGGAAGGAGCCTGGAGAGCCAGACAATGGAGAAGACTTCCAGGACTACGGCAGGCTAAAGATCTCCTTGGAAATTTCAACCGAGAAAGATCTAAGACACTGACAAACCTCAGCAAAGGAAGTCTCAAAGCAATAACGGGATCTCTAATGGGGCATTGCAGACTCAAAGAACACCTAAGGAGGCTAGGCTAACAGAAGGATGGCACCTGCAGATTCTGTGAGGAAGAACCGAAACACCCCATCACATACTGATGGAGTGTGACGTTGTACATCACAAAAGATTGAACATACTGGGAACACACCAGCTGACTGTGGAAGAAATACCACAGCTAGACCCCCTCAAAATCCTCAAATTCCTGCTATGAACAAGAAGATATAGCAGAAGCAGATGGGGCACGATAGATCTAATTAGGTCGCAGCGCATCTGTCACCATCCAACCTACCAATACCAATACCAATACCAATACCAATACCAATACCAATACCAATACCAATACCAATACCAATACCAATACCAATACCAATACCAATGCCAATACCAATACCAATACCAATACCAATACCAATACCAATACCAATACCAATACCAATACCAATACCAATACCAATACCAATACCAATACCAATACCAATACCAATACCAATACCAATACCAATACCAATACCAATACCAATACCAATACCAATACCAATACCAATACCAATACCAATACCAATCCGATGTTCTGCGTGGCGTATAGCCAGGAAAGTAGTTGTTTTTCTCTCGTTATCTACCATTTTCGTTCATTCAATGAACTATCGTGGTAATGACTTTGATTTTCTCACTATTTGAGAAAATGTAATGTTGATGACTGCTATCTTTTATTGAATCGGCCGTTACTTGTTGGAAATCCATGGCAAATGTGAAAACTACACAAACGATAAGATTTTCACAAAATTCACAAACACACGACATGAAATCTTATCGTTCGTGAAGTTTTTACATATCTCATTGATTTTGGCCAAATCACTCATGATATGAAATTAGGGGGAACTTTTGCAATTACAAGAAAAGTTGAGTGCGTACAAAAGAACAAAATATTTGAGTGCGCTGTTATGTGGCACCCTGTAGAAAAAACCATTGAAGTTCGAATCAACATGGGTCCAGAAATGACCCCCTGAGGGGTCACGAAAATAACTGATGTGATGAAATAACCAAATTCTGAACGTGTACCTAACTTATGCTTTATGCCCCATTTGAGAATGATAAACATTTTCCGAAATTTTGATCAAAGGCAATTTTCAGCAGTTTGACCAGGAAATATGAAAATATCTTCGTTTTTACTTAAAAACCGGTACTCCTATTTATTTTCGGTAACACTCTGCTGCGTAATAAAAATATGACTTTTTCTGATGCAACCGTCACAATAGTCGCCCATTCTAATACCAAAATCAGCTCTTGAATTGACGTTTCTATTACTGACACAAACAACCCAAGATTTGTTGCTAAGCAACATTTCTCAAGTTCCTAGGTACTGAAGTTGAACTTTAGCTCCTAGGAACTGAAAGGGATGTACTAGGGGTCATCATCATTGTTACCGTTGGTTATTTTGGTTGGGGCGCATACCTGACATGTTTCCGATTTCGGCAGATTTGGCATTTCATACCCATGCTGGAGATATAAATACACCATATTATAGTTGAATGTATTTGTTTTGATCAGGAAAGCCTTCAAGACTCACATACTTGCTTGATCTGTATTTCATTCGTTATTCTCGGAATGGATAACTTGTTTTTGAATAATCACGACTCGCAATAGTTTTTTGTCTCACACAACGATATCGTTTACCTTCATTCGATTACTGTGCCAAACACAGTGTGGTATAGAGAGAAATAAATAATCGCTATTATTATTGTTGATACGCTCACTAACCTAACATTTTCCACGTCTTTTTCCTATACCTGGCACTAGCGCGGTATTTTCTATTAGGGCTGACACCTGGTCCATACACAAATTGGTCACTTTGTGGTTGAATTTATATTGAAACAACAATTCGAACATCCATGAACATTGAATAAACCTGATTGTATGATATAATACAGGTAGATGATTCTCACCACTTGCATTGCATGGTTACTTCACATATTATTTATTCCAGTTAATTCTTCCGGTTGCAGACAAAATAGCATGTTTCATTCGGATCTAAAGTAACTCTGTTTGACTCGCAAATTTGTTCTCGCTCGGTTTCCCTAGACGCTCCAGCATCTCAAACGCAAAATTCGCTTGTCACACAAAGTGTCTCTTTTGATCCTAATAAAACAATCTACTATTTTCCTACACTTCTCCATACATAAGTAAACTATTTCATTTTTCAATTACTTATTTTTATTATTTCCCTCATATTTTGAATGGAACATCACAAGTTGATGTTGAAAAAAGGGTATTTTCCATTAAAACATGATTTTTGGGAAAATGTTATACCCT